GGCATTCTTCCATCTTAGAAACATTGCCAAGTTACGAAACATGATACCTGTTTCTGATGCAGAAGAGCTAGTTCATGCATTCATGACCTCTAGACTGGACTATTGTAATGCACTGCACTGCCAACCCTGAAACAACATACAGAACTACCACATTTTGCTATAAGTTTGATTGCATCATATAATAATTGCTGTTAATATTATTCATCGTCTGTTTTATTATGTCTTATATTGATTTTTCTGTACGGCTGGTTCGTCTGGTCAGAGGAGAACTGGCCCCCCGACTGAGCCTGGTTTCTCCCAAGGTTTTTTTCTCCATTCTGTCACCGATGGAGTTTTGGTTCCTTGCCGCTGTCGCCTCTGGCTTGCTTAGTTGGGGACACTTCATTTCCAGCGATATCGTTGACATGATTGCAAAGATACTATTTAAACTGAACTAAGCTGGATGTTGACATCACTGAATTCAATGATGAACTGTCTTTAACTGAAAAATGAGTGTTTACTATTGTCATTTTGCATTATTGACACACTATTTTCCTAATTAATGCTGTTCAGTTGCTTTGTCACAATCTGTATTGTTAAAAGCGCTATATAAATAAAGTTGACTTGACTTGACTATAGACTTATCTTAAACACACTTTGAAATCCAAGTTCTTAAAATAAGATGCATGATAAACAAACCAAAGCAAACCAGAAGAATCTCATCAGCTCTGATGTGTTGTAAAGTGATGATACACTCATGCACCCCATAGAACGATTATGCAAGCTACAGAAATTAATTGTGTATATTGTTAAAATATACAAGCATGTAAAATTTCAGAGGAGTTCAAACTTGAACACAAGTTTGCAGCATGTTTTTAAGTTGCGTCCCTTTACTTGTAGATATGATCTGCCTTTATGTAGGACTAATATATTTAAAATATATATTTTTTATGTCAGCTGCCATCAGTCTTTTAAATCACAAATATGTTTATGTAAATTATTAATGGAAGTCTTTGTTTGTGTCTGTGTTGTGGTGGTGCGTGCTGGTTTTGTTGATTGTATGGTTTACTGCTGGCTGAGAAACAAATTGCCTTCTTGGGGATAATAAAGTATCAGGGTCTCTAATATAACCAGCCAGCAGAGGGCATATGTCTGATTTACTTACATTCACACAATCACAGTCTTTTAGCACTGACATAAAAGAGTAGGTGCATCAGAAGGTCCACAGATTTTGTGGGAACACAAAACTGATATCTGTGGTCTCTCATGAACAAGTTTATCCCGTTACAGTTAACTTCCGCGTTCCAGTCCTGGAAATGTGAAAATTACTCCACAAAGGATGGAGGACAGAAGAAACATGTTTTGAGCAAGATATGAATCACGCATTTTACATACTTCAACAGTGCAGCTTGCTTTATTAAAATTTATAACACATTTCTTATTTAACCAAACTTCAACAACATATTTCA